ATGGTTTGGTCTTGGATGTTTCATTTGATCTTGGATGTAGTGAGCGACGTACGAAGCACAGGGCCCTGCCCATGAAATTCAGTAAAAAAAACAAAAACAAAACTGGTTTCTTGCAAGTGAGTTTGGGCAGAGCTGTAATGGCAGCTGCACTAGCTGCAGTCTTCCACGTGTATTTTTTTCCTGTGCTAGTGGTTGCTCTTTTCCTGTCAGCATGTAAGGATGGACAAGAACAATTGTAGGTGTATGCTAGACTCATCTGTTCTGGAAAAACTGCAGCCTTGGTACATAAGCTCCCTACCATGCCAGTGGTACTTGACAGATAATTAAATAAATACACATTATTATACATATTATATCAAAGGGTATCATAAGTATCAATTCTGGTGACATCCCTGATAATTAACAATATAAAATATATACCTAAAGTCTGAACAGGGACGTCCACTTTTACACAAGATCTTCAACATGTGGATGTGACAGGATCTGATGTTGAATAATCTTGTGTACAGAGCGAGACTGATGGGGTAGTGAGCTATGTTGACCTTAAAGCCTTTCTTTCTATGTCAAAAAATTGCCCCTCTTTTTGCCCAGCTAAATCACCATAGCAACTTATTCACTATGGTAACCTGGTTGGGAGCAGGTTATGTGTTTCGGTTCAAAATTGTCTGCAAGAGATTCTTGAATGTTTAAGTGCATTAGACTGCTGTTCAACTTCACTGTCAGCTGTAAAGTACCAGCTGAGACTGCACTGTGTTGTCACTGGAATGTGCATGTGTTCAGCTGGTGCTGCAGAATGGCCAAATGTTTTCATACATAATTCTAAATACAGAATTAAGCTGCTTGTTCTCATTTATACTGCTAGAATTACAACTACTAGGACACAGGACATACACCAAGAATGAATGAATCAATGAATCTAATTAATTTCACTGTGATCTTCAGACAAAAGTGAAGTGTTTTCTACGTCTCCTATATTAGGCTGTGTGACAGTAACATTTTTACGCTATCAGTATTAATGTTAATAGTGATTTTTCTACTGCATTAAACTCTTGTCCTACTTGCAAAAGTATTACGTTTTACTGTTATATTGTTTTGATGTTCTTGTTTGGATTTTTGTCGTTGTCATCGTCATCTCTATCATCATTAGATCGTGTCTGATTGGAGTAGCCCACACTCAATGGGATGATGCAGTCCTTTTCTCGTGAGTGCGCTCAGAACCTGAAGTAGAGAGCCTGACTTATCACAGAAACCCAATAACAATCATGGCAATATACATTTCCTCCAAATAGCATTTCAGTTTTGTTATGGTAGTCAATGTTCAAAGAAAACTCAACTGTGTTGAACTTCCTTCATCGTTCACTCCTTCTGTCAGGAAGGCTTTATATCCTACGTCCCGATGAACAGAATAAAGTTTTTAGGATTTCATTACCTGGAAGATACCATAGAATAGTTTGTAACAACGCTGCTGGTTTCCTCTCAAGTATACAGACTGCACACAGTCTCCAGCAATTTCTAACGGAAGAGTTTTATTCTATATCAAAAACCTATTGATTGTCCCTCAGCAGCGCCTGTTGTTTTCAGAGAGAAGTGCATATTCAATTCAATTTTATTTATATAGCGTCAAATCACAACAACAGTCGCCTCAAGGCGTACAGTAGATCCTACAATAATAGATACAGAGAAAAAAAAACAACAATCATATGACACCCCCCCCCCCCCCCCCCATATGAGCAAGCACTTTGGTGACAGTGGGAAGGAAAAACTCCCTTTTAACAGAAAGAAACCTCCGGCAGAACCAGGCTCAGGGAGGGGCGGCCATCTGCTGCAACCGGTTGGGGTGAGAGAAGGAAAACAGGATAAACACATGCTGTTGAATAGACAGAGATGAATAACGGGTACGATTCAATGCAGAGAGGCCTATTAACACATAGAGAGTGAGAAAGGTGACTGGAAAGGGAAAAACTCAATGCATCATGGGAATCCCCCAGCAGCCTACGTCTATTGCAGCATGACTAAGGGAGGGTTCAGGGTCACCTGGTCCAGCCCTGTTGGATTGTCAGTGCAACCCTCTTCTCCCACTCTTCATACACTGACAGCAACACCGCAGGAGAAATGCCAGTACAGGCATCCAGTATCCGTAGTTTCAGGTGCTGCACATCTGGTATCTTCACACCATAGACAATTGCCTTCAGATGACCCCAAAGATAAAAGTCTAAGGGGGTCAGATCAGGAGACCTTGGGGGCCATTCAACTGGCCCACAGCGACCAATCCACTTTCCAGGAAACTGTTCATCTAGGAATGCTCGGACCTGGCACCCATAATGTGGTGGTGCACCATGTTGCTGGAAAAACTCAGGGAACATGCCAGCTTCAATGCATAAAGAGGGAAACACATCATCATGTAGCGATTTCAAATATCGAGTGGCCTTGAGGTTTCCATTGATGAAGAATGGACCCACTATCGTTTTACCCCATATACCACACCAAACCATCACTTTTGTTGGTCCAACAGTCTTGGAGGGATCCATCCAATGTGGGTTAGTGTCAGATCAATAGCGGTGTTTTTTTTTTTGCTAACTTCACCATTCACATAAAAGTTTGCCTCATCACTGAACAAAATCTTCTGCGTGAACTGAGGTTCCTGTTCCAGTTTTTGTTTTGCCCATTCTGCAAATTCTGTGCGCCAATTTGGGCCATCCTCGTTGAGATGCTGCAGTAGCTGAAGTTTGTAAGGGTGCCATTTGTGAGTAGCTAATATCCGCCGAAGGGTTGTTCAACTAATGCCACTCTCCAGTGACGTGCTATGCTGTGGGCTCTTGCTGAATGAAGCTAGGACAGCCACTGCTGTTTCTTCATTAGTGACAGTTTTCTTGCGTCCACATATTGGGCAAATCCAACACTGAACCAGTTTCGCGAAACTTAGCAAGCAGTTTGCTAACTGTAGCATGGGAGATGGGTGGTCTCGTAGGGTGTCTTGCATTGAAATCTGCTGCAATGACCCAGTTACTGCGTTCACCAGATATCAACACAATTTTGATCCGCTCCTCACGTGTTAACCTCTTCGACATGTCAATGGCTGTGAACAAAGAGAAACTTGTAAATAACTCATGGAATAATAAAGTTACGTTGAAACGTTATTTACGTTGTTATTTTGGTTAGTAATGTTCTTGCTGTGCCATAACATCTGATTAGTGATTTCGATGGAATGCAGGCTGTTATTGAAGTAAATGAGCAGAGTTGGAGATCATCTGCAGAAGGTTTTGGTTATATTAGCAAACCTTGAGAATGAAATTGCATATAATGGGCATATAGCCTGTTCTATGAGCACAATGCTCAACAACAAGTCTTTATCTACTTGGCTGCTGAATCTTAACAGGCTTGCATGCACTGAGCACTCTGTGCTTCATTGGTGGAACAGTAATTAATAATTCAAGATCAAAAGTACTATAAATGCATGATACCTCGATGCCACTTAATTGTATAATTTTGTGTGTGTGTGTGTGTGTAGGCAGTGGACAGCAGTCTGTAACTGGAGTGGAGAACGCAGATGATGCCAACAGCTACTGGCAGGTTCGTGGGAAGCCCAACAATCCATGTCTGCGTGGTGCTCCCATCAAATGTGGCCAGGCCATTCGCATCACACACATGAAGACTGGACGAAACCTCCACACACACCACTTCAGCTCTCCTCTGTCTAATAACCAGGTCAGACACACACAACTGTTTCTCTTGCTCTTTTAAACACATGTGGATGTTCACCAGGGTACAAATGCTTCCCTTCTCCTCTGCACCATCCACAGGAGGTGAGTGCTTTCGGAGAGAATGGCGAGGGTGACGACCTGGACGTGTGGACGGTTCAGTGTGAAGGCATTCACTGGGAGCGCGACGAGGCTGTGCGCTTCAAACACGTGGGCACCGACGTCTTCCTGAGTGTGACGGGCAAACAGTATGGCCACCCCATACGTGGACAGCGGGAGGTGCACGGCATGAGCTCCCCCAATCAGCACAACTGGTGGCGTACTATGGAGGGCGTCTTCATCCAGCCCAGCCAGGAACCGCTGCGCCACGATGAACTCTGACATCATCATCATCATTAGGAGACATGAGCATGGACATGCTTCTGCCTGGACCTGATGTATGACTTGACTGAGAAATCTTTTCTATGTGAAGCACTCGGGGTGTTTTGTGACATGAAGGGGGTTGGCAGGCATTATTTCTGTGTACGTAGTGTAGCCTCAATATGTTCTTTCAGCTTCTTCCTTGGAGAATGTGATGAGGGATAACATTGAGCCAGGGGAGATGCATGAGGATGGCTATAGCCCTGAAGAAAACTATCATTTGATTAATTTTGTCCAGAAATACATAATGACATGTACTGTATGTAATAAAGCCTTTCTTTATTTCATATTTGGTGTATATAGGTGTAATTAGAGCACACTTCACTGTCTGTCTTTTCGCCACTGTTCCTGTGTTTGCAAGGTTATGGTATCTGGATTCTTTGCTGAGCTTATCTAAGCTTAGCAGGTTGTCTAGATGTCTCCTGCTACCTTAACTCTAGCTGCTGCATTGGGATTGGCACGACACAAGACTGGCTCCGTTATTGATCCTGTCAGCCTTTGTTTACACTGCAGTGTACAACCTGCCAGACTCACAAGGTGGCAGAATTCTCCACCTCAGTGCTGAGTCCAATTACAATGCTTGGTTATTTATTGTAATGTGTAACAGTTGATTGTTTTACTGCGCTTTTGTAGAGTGTTGCAATGGAGGGAAACCCGTATCTTGTGACCCCATAGTCCCCCGTAGCACAATGTTGGAGGTCTTTCACAAAGTGACCACAAGCACTCTGCTCACTGTGAGTTTTCTACTGTGGCTCAGGAGATTGAGCAGTCTGGGCAAGATACTAACCCTACGTTGCTGTATGAAAGTGTGTGAATGTTAGAAAGCGCACTCTAGTTTTTTCATAAAGGCAAACTTTAAGAATGGCTCTGTGATGGAGATCAGGGCCCGTATCCCTAAAGAATCTTTGTGCAAAAAGTGGCTCCTAGCGGCCAAATTCTAAGAAAATTCTCAGAGTCATGACGTTTTCTTAGAATTTCCCCTAAAAGTGACACGAC